GGTTGAAGGTAGATATACGACAGCAAATGATTAACAGTAGTCATTACGGAACACTTTAGATTATAAGTAAAACCTTGAAGCATATAAATTTACCTTTTGTAGCAGGCGCTACGAAACACTCTGGCCATGAATAAATCTTGACGCATATAAATTTACCATTTGTAGCAGTCATTACGGAACACTTTGAATTATGAGTATAAAACCTGGAAGCATATAAATTTACTTTTTGTAGCAGCCGTTACAGAACACTTTGGATCATGAGTAAAACCTTGAAGCATATAAATTTACCTTTTGTAGCTGTCATTATGGAACACTTTATATCATGACTAAGACCCTGAAGCATATACATTTACCTTTTATTGCCAAGAATATTTTCTATCGAAATGTTTCTAACAGCCAATAATAATTGTGGTCTTAGTATATAAGCTCTGATTTCAGATACTTATTTCAAATTGTGTATTTAAGCAGCTATCACGGCACCTATTACACTCCAAAAATTGAGTAAAGGTCCCTAATGTCAAAAGGATGTAATAGTATCAAACGATCCTTGACTAGGACAAGTTTCTGAATAAAATGCTAAAGTTTAGATTTGTTTAGATTGTCATTAACATGAAATTAATAACAATTGCAGTTAATATCATAAAATTAAAAAAAAATACATGCTTATAAAATTTCATTCTACTCATTATCACCGCTCTAATAGCTAAATAATTGGAATCATTCTTTTTTCAAATTGCAGATGCCTTTGAGGCTCAAAAATCCAAGCCTGTCGAAAATTAAGGTGTGTTTTTTCAGAGAAAGTACGTATTTATGCTTGAATTCGTTACGCAATTCATAGTTATACTAATTAGCATATTCAAAGCGAACCATTTGAACTACTAAGCTTGGCACTTAGTACTCGAGAATCCAATTATTAAATCAAAAGTTATTAAATTATTCTTATTTTGTTCCTAAATATGTTCATAAATCGACGCGTAGACTGACAAACAAACGTACGCATTTGTCTTTTTACTAAATGTACAAATTTAATTAAATGCAGCAGCAATTTTTATTTTAGGAATGAAAAATAAAAAAATAATGCTTTTTAGATCTTTATCTGCAAATAAGAACAGCATGAATAATAAGGAGTCATCTATAATAATGGGACTGATGTGCTAAATAGCAAATGGTATGGTATTTTAAACCTACATTTTCTTGTCTAAAACAGAAACTGGAAGAAATTAAAGAATGAATATTGCTTTTCTTCTCTTTTTTTAAAAGTTTTGATGACTCATCTCCAAAATTTGGACTGCAACTTATTAGTTGAGAACTCCTGCTTTTGATGAATGCTGACAATGAAATACAAGTTTTTTTAATCACCAGATTTTACTTTTAAATATTTATAACTTTTATCATAACTATATTTATAACTTTTTATTTTATGCCATGACTATCAGTAATTTCAGACAAAGAGAAATAAATAATATTTTCCCATCTTTGGTATTTTGAAAGCAAAAAAATTTTAATTATGCAACTTTTACTTTTGTTCACTTCTGGTATTGATTCCATTTCCAACAAAACAAACAAACAGAAAAAATAAAAATTAAATTAATAAAATAAAAGTAATAATGATTAAATGTGTCAATAGAAGTAGTCGATACAAAATGGGTACAAGATTTTAGGTACTTGTTAAGTATAAATATTTTGTTAATTAATAATATTATTATTGTTCTTGTTAATTTTCACTCTCAAAATTATTAAAATATTTACCATTAGTTGTACTCACTATCTATCTATAAACTATATAGTCAGTATAAACCATAAAATTCAAGTTACTGTTACAGTTTATTAATTTTCTTTAATAACTTATTCCTGTTCAATTAACAACTTAGCCATTTTTTCAATAATAGTACAATATTCGATAAATAATCAATTACTGGATACTACTTTGATGATTCGTAATATTTTAACAGCTGTTTGTGTTAAAATGACATCATTCGCTCTATTTATAAACATCTCACCAAATGCTTCAGCATCACACGTAATAAAGTCAAATAGATACTAACATTCTTAGTATTCTTTTCGTTGTTTTCTTACAAGATTTTTCTCAAAAATTTCTCAATTCCCCTATTTTTAAAACAAATTTAAAATAAAGCAAAAAACTTACTTAATAAATTATTTAATTAATTATTTAATTAATTAATCTAACTATAAGCACTGTTCTTTATTTTTTTTAAAAAAAAATAGTTTAAAATTCCCAAAGATTTTGAACTCTCTATAGCGCATGAAAATGTATGTTTTTTGGGGGGAGGCGTTATATTATCAATAAATTTTAAAGTAAATATTTAATTTTTTAGAACAATTTTTGTTCCAGTTTGGAAAATATATTTCAATTAAAGCATCATTAGAAACGGAAGCCTTTCTGTAAAAAATTCGTGGGAATCTTGTATCTAGTAAAACTTACAGAAAAAATCTGAATGCATTTTTATATCATAGTAGATGAAATAACTAAACAATACTAAACATATTTTATTATTTATAAGACATAAAGGTAGATCATGTCAATATTATCCTCGCTTATTTTTATACTAATTTACATAGATATATACTATTACATTTACACATTTATTATAGATAATTAGTAAATATAAGTTCATAAAATGTGAATAAAATATAAATTTGTAAATATAGCCAAATGATTTAGAGATTAACTGTACTTTATTATCAACATTTACAGCATTGATTTGCATACATGACTTGATAGTTCGACCTGTAATGTATAACTACCAAAATTGACATTATTGCAAGCAAAATAAATAATGGCATTATTTTTAAAATTTTTCTGTTAAAGCGAATTTATTAAAAATAATATCTAATCTACTTGTTTTCTAATGAATTTTTAGGAGCAGAGATTTAATCCCGTTTCAGAAAGTGATTATAGAGGCGAATAAATTAGTAAAAAAACAAGTATTAAAGGAGATTGTTACGCTTTTTTGAAAGAAACTTAACTGAAACTGACGTTACGATTTACAAAGATTATCTAAAATCGATTAGAAAATAAATATTTTTAAAAAAAATTTCATAACTTGTTTTTTTTTTTTTTTTTTTTTTTTTTTTTTTTTTTTGTTATAAGCCGAAAATCTATATTTGTTGTGTAATCTGACATTGCGATTAAAAAATGAAATTTATTTTTGTTCATATAAAAGGTTTTAATTTTTGTTAAAATATCTAAGGAAATTGTATTTAATTTCAGGAAATATTAAAGTAGTATTATAGTACAGAAAATATTAAACTGATATAAAAAGATACAGAAACTGCATTAAGTTTGTCAGTAAAAAATGTGTAAATGTATCGGTCGTAAGTCTTTCAAAAATTCTAACTTCAAAATTTTTTTATTAAACATCATTTTTAAACTTTAAGAAACCAGAAGGTTTAAGAAAAATTTATACAAGTGTCCCCTTTCTTCTTAAAAACATTAATTTCATTCACGTTAGACAAACTGGTAATAAAAAATAATAATTGAAAGCCTTTAAAAACAGAGGGTAATCTAAAATAGAACAGCGGTAGAAAATTCAGTAACACTTTTTTGTCCTTGTGCAGCTAGCTTCCTTGCAATTAGAAAACAGAATTTCTGAAATGTTGTTATGCTTTAAGTCACCAAATTGTTCAATTCCTTATAAGCTTTAAAATTTTTTTTAAAAAAATATTCCTTCCCATAAAATTTTTTAAGGCTCTTTCCAAATCCGGGATTAGTGTTAAATATTGTTAAGGTTGTTGAATAATTTTATATCTTAATAAATCTGCTCTAAAAATGTACGTTAATGGTCCCTATTTATATATTGCCTGAAACAATCTATATATATATTTCTCTTACACGGCGACAAAAAAAAGCCTCATTACAACTCCCCGAATGGCAACGCTGGAAAATCGACCAATGATTGATGCTAAAAATGTCACATGCCAAATCTAGTTGAGGTGGCTCAGCATATAGCGCTTTTAAAAACAGAAACTAAAAGAACCAGGGAGAGCATGAGCATTCTCACCAAATGTGATCTCTTCCGAAATTCACCCTATCAGCTGCGGCAATCTCATACTATTAAGCTATGCAGAATTGAGTAGTCTTTGTCGATAGATCTCTATTTTAGTATTTTGTCGAAAGCGCTTTTTTTCACGAATTTATATATTACGAATTTATTTGACGATTTTTGATTTATATCACGAATTTATTTGTTTTATTACTGTTATTAGTTATTCATTGAAAAATGAGTCTCAGTCGTGCTGTTACGCTTTAAGATTTTATAGTATAGCACATTTCTAATAGGTTTAACGAATTACATGTCATTTATTTGAATTCAAATTTATTTTAATGACTTAATATTTACTAAAAAGATGTAATTTTTCTTTTTAAGAAAAGTTGCTATATGGATTTGAATGATTGTTTTGAATTCTTAGAATTTTGTGCATTTGCAATGTACCTACATTAGTAGCGAGCGAAGCGAGCTTGGTTTGCGAAGCAAACCATATAAGATTGCGTAGCAATTTTCAGGGGTTGGCGAGCGTAAGCGAGCAGGGGGCGCAGCCCACTAGTACAGCTTAAATTCGGAGAAAACAACACTTAAAACCACAAATAATTGATAAACGAAGCGCAAATCTATACTTTACCATTTTAAATCGCAGTGGTTATGGCATGAAATATCTATTTTGATAAATGTTTGAAAAATGAAATTTTTTTATAGTGTCGTTTGTTATTTTCATTTAATATCTTTATTTTTAGTCACACCTGATAATGTGTCTTCTAAACAGAAGTCAAAATAAAAAATTAAGTAACAAAAATAATAGTATGACAGTGTTACTTTTAGAATTAAGAAAGAAACGCACTATGTTGTACTAAAAATAAAACTTAAAAATTTCTATTGTAGATTGAGATTGTTGTATTGAAGATTGAAAGTGAGATTAAAGATAACGGTAACGATACTAAAGTTTAATCATTATTTTGTCATGACGAGCGTTTTGTCTTATCTTGTTTCACTTATTTTTATTTGCCGTAGTTTATAGCATAGTTGCACCTCAGGCATAAACTATAAAATAAAACTAGAAAGAATAAAGCATTCAAACATTGTAGCATAAATTTATCTTATATTTCTATGAACTTTGATTTATCATAATTTACGAAAATAAGATTATTTAACAGATTTTCTTCCATACAGTGGCAGTAGACGATTTTGATACAAACTTATAATATTGATTATAAGTTACTTGTACGTGTTTTCAGAAAGTATAGAATACCATGGAACCTCAAATGGACGCAAACGAATTCAGGAAATGTGGAACAGAACTGGTGAATATGGTGGCTGATTATTTGGAAAATATAAGAGATCGTTCAGTGTTGCCGGATGTCCGTCCAGGATATATTACAGATCTTTTGCCGGATTCTCCACCTGAACAGCCACACCATTGGAAAGATGTACTCAATGACATTGAAAAAGTTGTTATGCCTGGAGTAAGTTGGCCATATTTTGTTCAGAAAAAAATGTTTTGTAATAAAAACTTTAAAACCATTACTTAAGTAACTAACGTATAGCAATCTTTTATTGTTACAGAAAAAGATTTTACAAAGTGATTGTAAAATAATAATTAAAGTAACAAAATTTTTAAATATTTATGCTACTTCTCCAACAAGTAAAAGCATAATTACTGAAATAATGGATCATATCTAAACATATGTTTGAATTATTTATTCGCATGATGCATGATGATACGCAGTTTTGAAGTTTTAAAATCCAAGATACGTTACGCATAGTTTTCTTTACATACAGTTAAAAACAATGTATAAATGTTTCTACCATTAAGAAAAATTTTCTTCGACAGCCGTACAAGTTATCAGTTAATAACGAGCGTACTAACGAGTCAATAAAATTATTTATTTCCTAAACCCTTTTTATCGAATTTAAATCTGCCAACTTCTCCGGCTTTTCCCGAAAATTTGAAATGGTGGAGGAAATTTCACTTTATCTGCTTTAAAATAGTTTGGAACACGAAGACATTTTTATAATTTAAAAAGACCTGTCAAAGTATTAAAGGTTATAAAGTATTAAAATACGGGGGAAATCTAAAAAACATTTTCCTACTAATTGCAGTTTTACTACCACTTTAAATATTGCAAAAAAAGAAGGAAACTTCGGCATTCTGCTGAGTTAATTTTTGCAGTAATATTAAAATAACTACGAGAAAAAAACTGATATTCATTTAATTTAAAGTTTAGTGAATATTTCTTTCGGTTAGCTTACATTTTAATTTAACACTTAATACAAAAATGGCAAAAAAATCACTAGAACTGTAAAATTATATGCTTCAAGACGTTCACCAATTTCTAGACACCACTATTCTTTAAGCAACAACGAAATATGTAGTATGCCTCTTCAATAAGAATATACAGACATAAAAATATAAAATATCGGTCGCGAAAATTTTCGTGACCGAAATTTTTTATTAAAAATTCGATGATTTTTCAAGAATTTTTGGGCTTACAAATGTTTACGATATAACTTCTTCAACGAGACTCATATTGAAGAATTGGAATAAGTTTATTAAAAATAAGATATAACTAACAGATCCACTAGAAGAGAATTCTGTTTGAGACGGAAGACATTCTGATTACACTGTCTGAGTTCGCAGTTGCTAATGCGTTACCTGACTGAAATTTGCTGTTACGCAAAGGATTAAGTGGATATTTTACTATATTAGCTATCACTTAAGTTTTAATAAAATTCACATTTCCATAATTGCATAGTTAAAATTAAGAAAAAAAACTATATATAACTTTATAAAATGTAACAGGCATGTTTGGTTTCTGTAAGAAAAAAAGTAATGGTGAAAAAAATTGTTCTACCAGTTCGTCATGTAGTCTTTCGAAAAAAAAATCCTCTCACAAGATGGCTAAGAGCTATCAAGTAAACAATAATTTTTCTGTTTAGCTACTTGTCTCTATTCACTTTAGGGCTGCTAATATTTAGGATGGTAGTCTTGAACAGATTTTCTTACTCAGAGTAGTAAACTAACTTCAACTTCCAGTATTTACTTGCCGTTGCAATAAGTATAATTTTTGCAACATTTCACAACTAAATATGCTTATGTGTTTTAGCTGTTAGTAAGCTGTTGCACTCACAGATAAATAAAACTTAGAAATGTTTTGATTACCAGTACGGAAAATTCTGAAAATTGACAGCAGTAATTCACTGCAAGCAGGGTTTTTTTTCTAACTTCATTCTTCATTATAAATATTGTTTAAAAGTTTTATTCACTTCAATCTTAAAGTGGTATTTTTTTTTTACTTAATGAATATATAATTTCGAAACCATTGAAATAGTAAACACTTTAGTATAATAGTATATATTTTTCAGCTTTTGTAAATTTTTTACTTCTTTATTCTTAATATTTCATTAGTTACCGTAATTCTACGATATAATAAAAAAAAACACTATAGTATATAGAATGACTATGGAAAACTAGACTGCAACAAGAAAGAAAAAAAAACATATCTAAGAGATAAATTTTTTTTAAATTGTAGGAAAAGTCCTTAAATGAAAAGCATTTTGTTTATTTAGCCTACTTTCTAGAGTCAAATAAATATTATAATGTCTAGAGTAACAACTAAAACAAAACAAAAATTCCTTGAATTTAGAATTTTGTTCCACAGTGAAGTATAACTTATTAGAATAATATAGCTTATCGAATTTACTCCCAGATAAAAAACAACAGTATGATGTCCATAAAATAAGGCCTGATTCTTTTGTTTTATTATCTAGGATATTTTAAGTCGATTGCATACTTATCATTCTTATCAACTGGCGACACTTCCTGCCTTTACATTTTTATCTATTGGTGATAAAGTGTAAAAGCTATCATTCATATTTTATTCCTCCGATTCATAAAAACTTTCTTTTATGCTCGTTGCCGTCCCTGTAGCGCAGTGGATAGCGCGTTGGACTTCTAATCCAAAGGTCCCGGGTTCGAATCCCGGCAGGGATGCTGTGTTCATGGGAACTTTTTGTTAATTATCTATATTTGAATTTACTTATGAATTATAAGAACAAGTATGTTCAAACTGAACTACATATAGTTGTTACAGTACCTGTAGCGCAGTGGATAGCGCGTTGGACTTCTAATCCAAAGGTCCCGGGTTCGAATCCCGGCAGGGATGCTAGGTTAGTGTCAACTTTTTGTTACGGTAGGTCAAAATATTTAAATTTGCAAAAAAAATTCCCGATATACACAAAAAGTAAAATTCACATTCAAAGGTCCAAATTTTCAATCATTCGCCATACTAAACTGTTTAAACCAGATTTCTACTATCTCCCCATATTTTAATGGTCAATAATCAAAATCCTTTGAAAAAAGACAGAGAAAGTACGTTTTCTGTCTGATTTAATAGCTTAATTAATAATTAGAATAAATTTATTAGCATAATACATGCCTCTCCTTTGAACTATTAACGCTTTAAGGACCGGTACCACACTAGCAAGGATATTTGATTAAACTACGGAAGTCTCATACGCACCTGAAAATAATTAAAAATTTGTAGTCAAGATGAAAAATTATTTTATTACACTTTTTACAACCAGAATATTTTAATAGCTTTAGGTAAATATATCTAAATCTGAAAAGTCAGAGGTGGAATGGACAGAGGAATGGACACTCAAATCTTCACGGGAGCTTCCATCACCTAGTTTCAATCATGCATGTCCTAACCATTAGACGAAGAATTAATCATAATTTTGTTGCCAAATGGAATTTATTATCAATCACAATTCCGACTTATTTTCCACTTACCATAGTACTCAAATCTCCAATGGGGCAATGGCTCCTGATGTCAATGTAAGATTTAATTGCTTCCTGACCTTTACAAAAAGAATTTACTGCCATAGGTTAATCAAATAATTTATCACTTTCCAGAACACCATTTTGTAAAAATTTTTAACTGAAAATTTGCATTGGATGATAAAACGAATTTCAATCGCTTTTAATCAAACAAACATACATTTTGGCCACTTTTCGATTAGTTGGTGAGTTCAAATATCAAGTGTATGTATCAATATGTGTCATAATATACAATTGGGATATGGAAATACAGTTTACAGTTATTTTCTGAAAGCTGAAGGCAAACTTAATCGCCATTTTATTGTTAGCCAACATTTCGCTTACTCTCCGACGTTAAATAACAGTCACAAAACTAATAAACTAATAAAATTAAATAAAATGTTTAATAAACCCGTTTCTCAAGTTGACTAAAAAGGAATAAAAAACAACTTTTCAATGAAACCTTAAAAACCATCCTAAGCGTATCATCTTAATAAATTTATTCCTAATCGGATTCGTTGCCTGGAATGATGGAAGTTTTTATGATCGGTGAAGGTTCGATAGGTAGTAAAGGCAGCTTTATTTGATGGATAGGCAACTTCCGCTTTCTTTACCTTGACGGTTTATCTGGCTTTTCGGCCACTCATAAAGCTTTAACACTTCGGTTACCCTTCTTAGAGATTACATTGCTTTTATTTTTACGTCATTTTGACCTGTCAGGAAAAGCCATTTTCTCGCAAAATGTTTAGTGGTCGAATTAAATACTATAAGAACGGAACTTTATTTACATAAGCCGAATTAAGTTTGGCTAGAAATTAAATTTTTAGGCCTTAAGTAGCATTATTTTATTTTTCGAACTCAGACAATCTGTCTCGGATACATTTCTTCTTTAAATTATTTCTTTCGACATTTCTAAAGAAAGGATGAAGGCACAAAAGGAAGAGTTAAAAATAAATGAGGTCGAAATGTCAATTGTTCGACAAAAGAAAGTTTCTAACAAGTTTGAAGTATTCTTTAAAAAATAAGTAGACAGATTCTTATGTATTAATTTTTTGTTCTGGATTAATTTATACGAAGAATAGTAGTACATTTCACACTGTATTGTTCTAGAATAAAATTTTGTTAAAATTGATATTTTAACAAATTTTGATAGTTTTTTTTTTTAAAAAAAATGCTCAATGGCTTGCAGAATAGAAAAAAGATTGTAATGTCTTATAGAATAGAAACGACTTCAATGTCTTAAAAATGTCTTAGTTTTCTGTTCGTGTTTATGGCATTGTTGAAACGATAAAATCTGTTGGTATAAAGGTTTTGATAGCAGAACAAAAAATTTATATGCAGGATGATACGTATAATTACCGCTTTTAATATGCATAGTGCCACAAGATTAATGGGACAAATTTTATAGGAAGGTAGGAGACATCACAAGGATTCAGATTTGCATAGCAACCCATGGTCGAAAACGTCTTCGTTCGCCGCTAAGTGGTATTGTTCACAAAAGCATTGGAGGAAATAGACCTGCGTTGCCGCAGTCATTTGAGTTGTCATCGTCCACACAGGAGTATACGATGTTTTGTTTTATGAACAGCACTTGTACACTTATACGCAACACTTCAGGATTCCGAAATGAATCTGGTTGGTTGCAAGAATCGTCTGTGCGGCTGCGGATATCCAACGAAATCCAGGTGTATTTGAGCAAGTCCGCCAATCCGTGGCTTACGGTGTAATGCATGTATTGCTAACAATGGTTGAAACTTTGAACATCTTTTGCGACATTTTCACCTATAATCTATTACAGCACATGTAATATCTTTCACAAATAACTATTTCAGATAGATCATCTAAAATATCTATGTCTCTTGTACCTGTCATACTACTTTCTCATGACGTTTTCGACCATGGATTGCTATACAATTCTGTATCTTTGGGACGTTCCTACCTCCCTTTAAATGTTTCTCCAATAATCCTGGGACATCCTGTATGTGCAAAAATCCTTGTCAAAAGCTAAGTAGAAATCGACATACCTATATTGCAAGTTGCAAAAACGCTTTTTAAATCTGATGAAACACTATTGAAGAAAGTTATATTAAAGAAAATACAAAAACCTTTATGATTTCCAGGTTAATCTTGAATGTGTTTGCAATAGTTATGTCATCCAACTCCTCTCAGTTGCTTTGGGCAATCAAGCAAGTTTTGATACATTTTAACCCCTCATTAGTGTTTTTTCCTCTTTACCTAAATATTAATTTACTCCCCCTATTGTGCAAATTATTTTGACTGGAATGCGAAAAATACTAAAGAAATTTATTTAGAGTAATGATTGCAAAACACCAAGTATATAATTGAACAATTAAATACATAAAAATTCATTAACATAAAAAGTGTATTTCGAATGTTAACTCAACAGGAAATTTTACAAGAACAAAAACTGGAGAAAAAAATAATGGAAATCAGATGCATCATGAAAAAAAAGGAAAAAACAAGAGCTAAAAGTCATTATCTTTTTATTATCCTTGCTCGGTGAAGATATTCGCAGTTTCGAAGGGGAAGTTGCAATACAGTTGGGGATGACGCTTCAAGGTTGCTAGGAGACCACAGGAATGCATTATCCGGATTGCAGCAAACGGCCCGTTCAATTCTTGATTGTCGATTCCTAAAGAGGTGGGAATAAAAAGAAAGTATCGTAGTTCGATCTTGAAAACTCTCAAGAGTATCATATAGGTCTTAAATTTAAAAATATTCGCTTTTCGAACACAAGAAAAGTTGAAACATAAGATGCTTTAGGGACCGCAGAAATTTTTTTAAGATGATTGCATCTGAGAAATGAAAAATGGAGAGAATATTCAAGAAAATACTAAATAAAATTTTTAAAAAAATAATGGAAGATATTTTAATTGGATTCCAGATCAGTCACACTGTATTCAATTAAAATAAAGAAGAAATTTAAAAAGAATTGTTATATCTTGTTGCATGTTTTATAAGCTCATTATTAAACTTAGAAAATAGAGTGTTTTTAAAGTGTCACTTAATTCATTATTTCACTGTTTTACTGTGTTTTTATCAATAAACTTTCCTGCTAGCTGTTTTATTAAGGCAATTTCGACCACTTTACTACTAGGTAGAGTACTGAAATGCCTTTCTGCTTGATGACCATGCATGTCTCTACTTTTTAAACAACTTAAAAAAGAAAAAAGTCATTTTTCAAAAAAATTTCATTTCTATATTTTAATAATTATTACCTCCTGTAATGTTTCAAGAATTAAGAGACTGGTATGACAGATAAGAAGACAGGTACGATGCATATCATGAATCCTTAGAGGTATTATACGTTCTAAGACATGGCATGTGTTCTCAGCGGATTTCAGGATAAAAACATGTTGTTTATTTTTACTCTATACATACAGGCTCTGAATTAAGCTTAAACTAGTTAAACTAAATATTATCACAGCTTTAGCCAATCGATATTGCAGGGATGCCACGCGAGACTAAAAATGCAAGAAATGGAAAAAACTGCAATTCATTTTTAATTATTTAAACCATTTAATTTTTCAATCATGACTACCACTACGACTTACATTACAATTATTCAAATTTAAATTGAAAACATACTTTACATTCATCTTTAATAGCAAACTGAAAGAAATATCCTAGAAAAAGTTGCTAATTTTAATCGCTTTAAATAGATTTTAGCTCTTTGTCAATCGCCACTTTTTACATTATTGTCGCATGTGGCATTCCTCAGTTTCCCTTTTTGAGAATGCCGTGTATGTAATATGCCTACCGGCAAATTATATCTGTGGAAGTGCAGGCACCATTGTACAAAAATCATAAAGGTGGTTTTATTAAAAAGAAGTGGTAGAGCATTTACTCTTAAATGGCTATCAAATGTGCCGCTTAATTCTGTCGTAAACTTTCGTTACAAGTTTGAGTAATGGTTGAACAAGTTGATAACAGTTGATAGTTTTTCAAACTATAGAACATTTAAGTTAATGGTTGAATATCCTATATATATACCACTTTCTTTTATAAAAGAACTTTTTACATTACCGAAAAAAAGAGGCGTGTACTTTCGTGGGCAGAATATTCCGGCTGATCTAATAGAAGACACGTTAACTCCATCAATATTGATCTAGTTTCGTCAGTTTAAAACGAAACGAATATTCCAAATAAAAAAACTGAAATGAAATTACTTGAAAATAAGAAATTTATTGCCTTCAAATAATAAAAATTGTGTTACTAATCTTTTTTTAAATCTTTTTTCCGTAAGTCGAGTACAAAAATTTCAATTAAAATGCTGACGCTCTTAATGTAAAATGATAGGCATTCGCTAACAAACAATATTTGTTTTCAGATGACTCATTGGAATCATCCCAATTTCCATGCATATTTTCCGACAGCAAACTCCTACCCCGCTATGTGTGCTGACATTTTGGGAAGTGCCCTCACATGCATTGGATTTACATGGGTAAGAAAAATATCATTCATTTTTGTGAGTGTATACATTATACATTTACATTATACATTTACATTATACATTTACATTATACATTTACATTATGCATTTACATTATACATTTACATTATACATTTTGTGAGTGTATGCATGATACATTAAAAGACTATTATCAATTCGATTTGCTGCTATTTTAATGATTGCTGTGGAATTCGTATAAGTTGAAACGATACTCAACTTGATAGTAATTTAGCGAGTACTGATTAGACTGTAACAATTAGTATTTTTACGGATCAGGCCATCACCGCCTACGTCAGAAAGCCTCCACACGGTATCTTAGAAGTAGTCTGCGCAGAGTATTTAAAAAGTGACACAGCTGTGCGCATGAACCCAATTTCCATTTTAATAGTAATTAAAAGAAATTTATCATATATATTTGAGAATTGAATCTGTAGTGGTTGACAAGTAAATAAGACAAATCAATTACATTCATACATGAAACAAATTTTTAGACATGTATTTGCTGCAACTTTCTTATTTTTAGTAGATTTTCCATTAAATGGCTCTTTCGTAAACTGGTTTACCTTCACAGTGGTCTGATCAGACTACCTATAACAAACCGTGTCGAGGCTTTCAGTTATGGGAGGCGTTGATCAGACTTATCCAAGAAAGTTGTTGAAACAGATCCTAGTACATTTAAGGAATGGGTATGTCCTAGAATCTGACAAAGAAAAGGCTATACTTTGTGAGATGTAGACTAAAGCAAAAAATAACGTAATACTCTCATTTGTTCTTTATTCCCGTTGTTTTATGCTTTAATTCCTAGAATATTGACGGATCAGTCTTATCCTAGAACTTTTATGGATAAATATGTAATAGTATCCTTGAAATTTTAAGCTTCATTTTCCTTATTATTATTTATTCAAACAAAGTGCTTGAATCCCCTTGACAGCAACCACATTGTCTGCTAACCTCAACGAAACCAAACAAATAAGGGACAAATACTACACGATGAATGGGATAGGGACCTCTTCCAAAAGCAAGACAAGACAAGAAATTTTAAGCATCAGGATTAACAACATCCTAAAACTTAAATGGATTACACTATAAGTATATCCTAAAATTTTTATCCTATCGCACTGTAAAATTATTTAAATCTGCTATTTCCTCTGGATTTTCCAGATCATATTTTAAAAAAAACAGTGAAAGTAATATATTTCAGTTTATCTCTTGAATTTATAAATTTAATTTAAAATGATTTTGACTACCACTTCATATAAATAAATAAGGCATGTGTGTAGTAAATGAGTAATTATTGCACAAAGCAAAGGGTGATTCTCACCTCGAAGTATGTCACCCACAGATCGCCTAATAGTTTCTTACAAGTTAGATTCCTTTCCTTATAATAAGCAATATATTTCTAACTTAAATTTTAATACTATTTGATATTAATTCCATGATCTGATCAGTTATAACGGAATGCTACTTCAGTCGCCAACTGCCACAACACTTTCACTGTTTTGTGCCAATTATTCGCTATAGTCCTAGGGCGCAACTCAGATGAAAGAGTAGAGTGTCCGCTTTGCGGACAGGGACTCTGAATCATCACATATCAAGTCAAAACAAGTAACGCAACGCAGGACTGCTACTTGTACGGGGAAAAATTAAAAATTAATTCATTAGTAGAATGACTCTTGAAAATCTATGGGTTCATTTTAATCTAAGGGTTAAGCTATTTCATTTTTTTTAAAACAAATATTGTAGTTTTTAATTGACGTAGAGTCTACTTCTTGTGTTTCAGATGTCTAGTCCCGCATGCACAGAAATGGAAATGGTTATGATGGATTGGTTAGCGAAGGCTCTTAAGCTTCCTGAGCATTTTCTATTTGAGTCTAAGGGAGTTGGGGGTGGCATTATACAGGTAAACTTCGTTTTACAATACATTCAATTGAATCTGTTTCTTTATTACCATTTTTAATGCACAATAAAAGAACTCATAAAATATAAAGAAATTTTTTTTTAAAAACTGTTTTGAAAAGTATATTTTGTCAATATTATTGTTTATAGTGTTTTCAGATTACACAATTTCCATCCGTTGCCTAGAGTGAATGTCAATAGAACTAGACGACAATAAAAAAATAGATTTCTTTTTCTTAATTTTTCTTTTATGTAATCGTCGTTGAGCAGCCGACCCAAATTTTATGGGTTTACGACTACCAAAGTTCAACTCCGTAGCCTTGTAATTTTGAACCCAATCCAGAAGGCAAGGGAACTCCTGGATCGAGTATTGGGAGAAACTCGCCTTCGTGGAGGACTTTTTGATGGAGCTAACCCGCATTTGCGTGACATGGAGAGGAAGACCACGAGAACCTCCCACGGTTAGCCTGACGGCAGGAGGATTCTAACCCATGATCCGTCTACCACTGAGGATATTTCACGTCACCACTGTGGTCGGTGAAAGCCGGATGAGGAATTCGTATCGGCTGGGATTCGAACCCGGTTCGCCGCATTGGAAGGCGAACGCTCTATCCCCTGAGTCTATCGCGACTATCTTTTTCTTAATTGCAGAAAACATCCGTGTCTGTGGCTAATCCTCGAAATCTGACGAAGTCAGATATACTCCATATGGTTTTTGAACTATACACAGCTGCCAACTTTCTACGCTTTTTGTAAAAATTCATTCTAGTAGTAGCTAAGTTAATGTTTCAATTTATTATTTTTTATTCATTTAAACTTATTTTCCATATCGCTACATATAAATCATTTAAAATTTCATATGCATCGCCACTTTGTTTCAGCTCTTTCGAAGCACAGAGGATAACATAGATACCAACTTGCTCTGATTGGTAAAAATTATTTTTTAGTGGCAGCGAAGTCAAAGTTACTTTTAGTTCAGTATTTTTCAGTTTAAAGTAATTTTCCACCACTACATAACAGAATCTCTAAAACAGATCTGGAATAACAATTGAGTTTTTATTAGACATATTTTAAAAAGTTTACGACTAACTAAAATCTTAAAAACTTTTTTTTTTCAGGGCACAGCAAGTGAAGCTACTCTTGTTGCTCTTTTGGGAGCGAGAAGTCGTATTCTGAATCAATTTAAAGATACATCGTTAGACAAATTAGTTGCTTATGCTTCTGATCAAGTAAGTAGACACATAAACATGAAAAATATTGAGCTATCGTTCATTTTTATTGGAAAAATTTCACAGAATAGAATGAAAGCAAAAATATACTCATATCATACCTTTTCTCATTTTTTATTAATATATTCGCAACACCAGTTCATTGTAATTAAATAAAGAAAATGAGAACATTTTGAGTTTTAGGTTTTAGAACATTTTTTAACATGCCAATCTAAGAGTTTTTTTAAAAATATTTTGGTAAAAATTCTAAAGTATTGGAAGGATTCGTTTCTGAGAAATAAACACAATAAGGAGACAATAAAAGAATTTAATAAAAAGACATTCACAAAGAAAACAAATAAAGAAATAAAAATGTAAAACATTTTTTTACACAGGAAGATTTTTTTTAAAGAAGAATTTTTTTTGAAGATTTTTTAAAAAAAATTAAAAAGCCAGTCAAAACACAGAATTACCAAAAGATATAAACTCGTTCGTCGTCAGCTCACACAATTATATTTGCAAATTAGAATGCTTTCTAGCATTGTATCAATAAAGCCAAAGCAATATATATATATATATATATATNAAGAAAGTTAAGAAAAACAATAAGTATCATTTATTGCGCATAAGCTGCAAGTAAACAGAACTCATTAGATAGGTTTTAAATGAAGATAAAACAAAGGAAAATTACAGACATATGAAAGAGAAAGGGGGGGGGAGAAAAAAGGAAATAAAAAATAACAAACAACTGGGGGGGGGTTTGAGTGCTCCTCACACTATTGTATTAATATATTTTGCTTTGGCTATATTGATACAATATCAGAAAGCACTCTTTTTTGGGGATATAATCGTGTGGGCTGATGAAAAGATAATATCTTTTATTATTTGGATTTTTTAAAAAAATTTTATCCTTTTTTTTCCCCAGTTGTTTATTATTTTTTTATTTCTTTTTTTCTTCCCCCTCCCCTTTTTTTTTCCTCATATGTCAGTAATTTTCCTTTGTTTTATCTTCATTTTATATATATATATATATATACTCTTCGGAAAGAACTTTTTTCGATTATTTTGTATTTTGTCTACAAAAAAGATCGTAAATTGAAGATGCATAAATTCTGCAGGGCTATAATTCAAAATGGAAAGAATTTTAAATTTTCAATAAAAATAAATTTGTATAGTTACTTTTAAACTTATAAGTAATTCAACTTTGATAAAATTTTCAAAGCACCACTTTTGGTTCAACAAAATATTTTCTTTTCGACTAATAGGGCAACGCTGCTTTTACATTAACCGCATTTTTACTGTTGTTTTTATGCTCATTTGCAAACAAACACTCCTTTTTTTTTTTTTAGAAATTTTTACTCTAACATCAGTGAAAAAAATTTCTTATCCTTTTAGTCTCATTCTTCAGTTGAAAGAGCCGCTCTTCTTGGAGCTGTTAGAATTCGACTGTTGCCTGCAGATGAAAACCTCAGTCTTAGAAGTGAAACGTTACAAAAGGCTATTAAAGAAGACAAAGAAAAAGGTCTTATTCCTTTTATGGTAAATAATTACACACATATTTTGTGATTACTCAATTCAACTAGGAGTTCAACTTGGAGTTTCCATTCTAATGTTATAAAGCATGCTAAAGTGCAACGCAATGTTTTTAAAAGTTTAAGAAACATGCAACACTTGTTTGCCCTCAAGTATACAGCGCCCCTTTGCGGTAGAATCTTAAGTCTTTGTTGAAAAATGAGTTCATCATTTTTTGTTATATCTATCTGAAATAATGAAATTCTTTTTACCTTTTTCGTTTTATATTAATTCTTTAAAATTCCTTGACGTTGAATTAATAAGATCACAAAGTGAATTTGGATAAATTTAAAATACTTTAACTTGTCTCTATTTTTCTTACCTAAGTATTGAATAAATATACTTATATACTTCCCATGCGATGTTAATTATTTAAAACTATTAGTAGAATAAGCGCAGATAAGCATTTCTTAAAGTTTCTTTACATAAATTTTTAGTTGCATTTATACAAATACTTTATGTTGCCTAATTCGGTTGTTGTAATTTCAACTCTGAAATTAACTTTGTTCCTAAATCTATAGATATTTTTTAAAATATGACATTTTTAGTTTATTTTTAATCGAAATTTTCAAATTTAAAAGCGTTATAAGTAACCGGGGTCGTGTAAATTTTGCGACAAACTTCTAGGTGAATTAGAGCACTCCATTAGAAAATCGCACACAAAATCATGCCCGGAAATATCCTCGTACGCAACTAGGGGCGTTTTCCTATTATGACCTGTTCAGAAGCACATGAAAAAACTGTTCACGACAGGAGGAGTGCCCCTAGTGGTGTATGACAACATTTCCTGTCATGTGTTTCTATTCAATTTTATTCCTGATGAAGTGCTCTAACTTCCTAAGAAGCTTGTCGCAACATCTATCCGACCCCCTGTTATATATAACGTGTTTGAACTTGAACATTGTGACAAAAAATAGACTAAAAATATACTTTTGAAAAAAAAGATAGCTTGCAGAGCGCAGATTTGAAATTAGCGACGTGAAAATATCTATGATTCTCTAGCGTCATCTGTATAGATTTTTTTTCTCTGTTTATTGTTAAATTTATCAGTTATGATAGAAATTCTAAATTGTAATGTGTCAATTCGTCAAAACTACAGCATTAAATAAACTTCTCCTGTTAAAGTTAATAATAGCTGGTTCTTATAAAATTACTAGGGCAAACACTAACACTAACAAAAAAAAANCATGTTTGTCTGCGCACTCACCAAAAAAAAAAAAAAAAAAACACTTTGGAAAATGCATTGCTGTGGAGTAGGAGTGAAACTCTTATGGGTATTACTAGTCTATAGTTATTACTCAAAATAACATATGGAGGACAATTTGATTTCTACCTTACATAATTTGTTAATTCTAATTTGTAATAGTTTTTCCTCAAGAAATTTTCATTTATTAAAGAAGATAGTATTTTATTCTGATTTCTTTTATCAATTTGATATGACTAGTTCATTTTTAATTTTACTTATTATTTTGTAGTAGTTAAAATTTTCCAAGTGTGCCAACCAATTAACAAGTCATTTAGCTTATGATATACTCGGAACCGCACTAAAATCCTTGCAGTAGATAGTAACTTTTCTATTATAGAGAATATATTATTAGGCATAATTATCATTAGACATATCAGCAATATTTTAATACGTATTTTTTAAGTTGATAATGGTTTTTGTTGATTGAAATAGCAATAATAGACCTTTTTTTAAAAAAAGAAAGCTCATATAAATAGGAATATTCAATGTCTAAAGCTATGCATAGCATTCGCAACAACTTATCTTATTATTTATTTTTTTATGTATAATTTTATAATATTCATGAAATATGAAGCCAGAAGTATATCAATATTAGGAGACACAAATCAATATTTAAAGGGATTTAAAAATGAAATAGAAATATAATGAATCATTTCCAAGTTGATCGAATCAAAGGAAGGGATTACAATAATCAAAATTAGTTTATCAGTTCGATGTTCTTCTTTGCAAGGTTTCAATTCTGTAAATGTAACTGACTTTGATTATTTTATTTCGTTTTTTGTTCAGAATGATCTCATTCATTATTTACCAATTTTGATTACATTTATGCATGCTTTTATTTCAATGAAATATTAATTTAAAATCCGTAATATGTGTTTTTCACTTCATTATTTAAGGATTCTACAAATCTATAATATTAGGGACATACAGTATGTGGTAAGGTTAACTTTCTCTTTCTACCTCAACTACTGCTACTCTACTCTTTCTATCTCTACTACTCTACTACTACTACTCTACTCTTTTTATCTCTACTACTCTACTACTACTACTAGAGAGAGAGAGAAAAGAGTAAGAAATACTTTTGATTGTTCAACAAAACAATTTTGCTAGACGTTGGGAAAAAAAAGAAATCCGACGATTTTACCAATTTATTTGTGAAATGGAAGTTCTTCTTTTGTAAGGTTTAAATTCTATAATTTCAACTGATTTTAGATCACTTTAATTCCGTATTCGCTCTGAATGACCTCATTCATAATTCGTCAATTTTTAATAAATTTTTTTTTGTTTATTTGTTTTTTTAAATGGAATATCATTTTAAAATCCGCAATATATATTTTCACTTCCATCTTTAAGGATTCTAAAAATCTATGTTATTAGGTCCATTTATGTTACTATGTCCATCTTAAGTAAGAACTACTAGAAAGTGAGAATAGACTGGGAACTACTTTTGATTGTTGAATAAAACATTTTGAAATTAAATGAGAAAAAAAATCTGACTATTTATTTAATATATTTATTAAAAAACTATTAAAAACGTATCTTAATGTTTCAGGTAATTGCAACATTGGGTACAACAAACAGTTGTGCCTTTGATAATATTAAGGAACTTGGCCCAGTGTGTATGTATCACAATCTTTCTGATTATTATTATTTATATATTTTTGATGTATCGCTTTGCAAAACCTCCAAAATTTTTCAAAACGGTTAATCTTTTTTAAAATCGTTATAAAAAATAAGTTAGAATAAGTTTTTAATTTTTTATTTTGGAAAAAAAGCTTTATTTCTAAATCTAGTTTAATATTCCCACAAACTATTATTTTTAAACTAATGCGCTAACTAGGAAAAATACTGCAGTATTTCTTTCAATTAAATTGTAAAAAAAATAATAATCCATCCTATTCTAGTACATCCCATTCATCTTAAATGTAGTTCAATATTCCCACAAACTACTATTTTTAAACTAATGAGTCAACTAGGAAAAATACTGCAGTATTTCTTTCAATTAAATTGTAAAAAAAAATAATAATGGTAATAATAATAATCCATCAAAATAAAGCTTGTGCTTTTGTTCAATTACTTGGTTTTCTTAATTGTTCAAATTTCGATTGAAAAAAAGAAGAATATTCGAGAAAATCACAATGTTGCTTTTAGCTAAGCTAACATGTTAATTATTACATCAATTGTTCGCATTACAAATATGTAACTTCTTTATGTGGTGACTTTCATATGTATTTAAAAAATGTTTTACCTTATTTTTATATTGTGAAAACTAAATTGGAATTTTCCTCCACTGACAAAAACTTACAGATACAAATTTCAATTTAATGGCTGATTAATTCATTTCAACTTCAATTTTAGGTCAGGAACAGAACATATGGTTACATATTGACGCTGCTTATGCTGGATCAGCCTTTATTTGCCCGGAGTACAGACATTTTCTTGATGGAGTTGAGGTTTGAATATTTTAATGTTCTTATAATGCACTATTCATTTTATGCAATTTGTTTCATGAAACATATTTTAAACTGCATCATCAATTTAATGTTATCTGTCTTATTTAATATATTTTAAAATGCATTATTAAATTTTCTCAGTTTCAGTATTTATTTCTGACACCTCTTCCATTATCCATTTCAAAAGTGCATACTAATTTTATTAGTTAACAAATTTTACCCCTCAAGACTTGACATCTCTCTTAGAAAAAAATTTTAAAAAATGCATCCTTAAATGTATAAAATTACAATGTCTGGAATATTTTCTATTTGTTTATTTTTAAAATGCACTGTTAAATGTCTGTTTAATTTTAGCTTTTGCTCTATGAGATTGTCATATTTCTTATAAATTATTTTTAAAATGAATTCCTTTTTAACTTCATTTTTAGCTTTCTCGTGCTAAATTTGACACGTCTTTTATCGGATATTGTTAGAAAAAAAATTCGTAGATTTGTCCGATTTCGAGCTTTACTTTGTATGACATTTATGCACTGTATCTACCTTTATATTACGTGTTTAAAATATTTTTAAAATATTTCATTGCATTTATTCTTTTACAGATTTCTTTGTATGTCATTTGTGACTTGACACCTTTTTCATTAATGTGTTTTAGGAAATGTACTTAAATTAATAAAATTTTAGGATTTATAAGATATTATATTTATATAAACACTCATTAGAATTTAGAAATTTATTGTATTTTATTTTATTGCTTTGTATTGAAACTGATGTATCGAAAATACATATATTAGGTCATCAAAGATAAAATTTGTACGACAGGATAAGTCAAAACAACAACTTATTATTTGACATTGGCTTAAAATCTCACCTTTTTTTTTAAAACCTTATGTATCTCACCGACTGAAAGAAATCCTCGTAAGCTCTAAAAAATATTAAAAACTGTTTCTAAAACTAATTTTATTGAATAGGGACTGTTCAGAAATTCTCCACTTTATGAAATATGTGTTCCTACGCCGAACTACAAGATGGTAGACCAAGCAAAACATTAATAGTATATTTGGTTTTTTTGTTAGTTGGCATTACTGTCATTTGATGAATCAACAAAAACACACTCCAAAGCGTAATATTTGTCGAAAAAAGGTCGATGCTAAATTTTATAGTGCTATATCGCAGGTGCAATCCATTATGACCGTATTAAATCTGGCTCATAGGTCACAATAGAAATATATTGCAACTAACTAGATGAAATTATGGATTTTAAAGAAAAATAGCCTAGATTTGTCAACGGATCGTCTCCTGTCTTGCTGCATAGCATTGCAAAACCACACACTGAACGAATGGCTATGGTAAAACTACAAGAATTGGAATTTCTTTATCATCCTCATTACCCCTTGACCCCAACGACTACCACCTCTTTCTAAATTTAGACAAATTTGTAATAGGAAAACAATTTTATTCCGAAAATGCTGTAAAACTAGCCTTGACGATTCGTTGACTCTAGTCCGCCGAAATTTTATCTCATTTCCCTAGACAAAAATGTGAGAAAAATATCGATTCATACTTTGATGAATGAAATAGTTCCTCATATCTGTGATTTATAAACCAACTTTATTTCCACAAATTTCACGCTTGGTGACTAAGTATTTAATTAAATTAGGAATTGTTGCATATTACAATTACTTACATACTAGTTAAAGCAATGTAAGTTATAAAACAGGTACTGAAATGGACAAAAAAAGCAGAAGGCAAAAAGTAAAGCAAAAGTTTTCCCTTTTTTAACATGTAAATATTGTACACGCGTGCTTTTTTGCAAACATTGTTTATCGTTAAAGTGTGTTAACTATGTATTTGCACCTAATAATCATTAAAAAAGGTTTTGAAATAACGATACAATACTACTTTGGTTTTTTTTAGTATACCAAATTTAAAATTTAGTAGTTAAGAAAAATATTTATTAATAACAGATACTATAATAAACAAGCATGACTGTTAATTAATATTTAATATTAAATGCTTATAAGCAATAAAAAGTAAACATTGATTATCACAGTTCATTAATATAATTATTGATAAAATTGTTAAATTTATTTGTGTTTTCTTTTCTAGTTTGCGGATAGTTACAATTTTAATCCTCATAAATGGATGTTGGTAAATTTTGACTGCTCAGCGATGTGGTAAGAACTAAACATGTTTAGATTATAAGTAATAAGTAATTGTTTCTGCTGTAAAAATATTTTGAAAACATAGAGAAAAACGATATCATAATATAATATATCGATATCATCGATAACTAATTGTGATTAAAACTAAAAAATTTAAAGCAACTTGACTCTTATGCGCAGTTACATACCAAATATACTTTTTAATACTATCAGAGATAAAATGTAGTTCGATATATATGTGAAAAATCAAATTTAAAAAAGTGTTCAGAAATCTGACGAATGAATATCGAGGTCAACCTCATTGATGAAGGAATTAGAAGCATCAAAACGAAGAATTATTATTTCTGATGCAATATAAGGAGGTTGAGCAAGGTCATTAAAGAAAGATTTCAGCTACATCTAATGAATAAACCAGTTCTGATGCTTTTAATCCCTCACTCTTAGTAATTACTTCGAAAATGATAAAACACGATTGAGGTTTGAGGATTTGTATTTGTTAAGTAGCTCTACATAGCTCCCTATTGCTCTTCAAAATGTGCCAATTTCAGAAAGTCATTTCAACAAATTATTTCAGCAGAAAAACATATTAAGTGAATACTTTAAAATTATTTAATCATCCATAAAATAATCTAAGTAATTACTTATGCTATTATTTTAACAGAAATACAGATTAAATGCAATTTTAAACTATTTAATCATTTATTAAAAAAAATATTTTTAAGTATTTTAAAGTATTTACTTATGTTTTATTTTAACAGAAATACAGATTAAATACGATTTTAAACTATTTAATCATTTATTAAAAAAAGTTTTTTTCAAGTATTTTAAAGTATTTACTTCCGTTTATAATAAATATTTTTGTTACAAAATTCCATATTTTTACATATATGAAAGATCGATTAAAATCACTTAACGATCATACACCGAGAGAGTTTCCAAGAAGAAAAAAAACTATTGTTTAAGATTACCTGATGCCCTAAAATTCAATTAAAAAAGTTAATTTAGAGGTAATATTTCAATACAGAAAGACATTTTGCATAAGCAGTAGAGATAACTAAATTTAAGTAGAGTTCAAAATTAGCTTTTGTCAGCATTATTGTTCCCATACCTTCAAAAAAGTTCTTAAATACTTTGACCTGCTTTATAATTTCTGAAATTCATTTACAGGGTGAAGAATCGATACGAAATTACAGAGGCCTTTTCTGTGAATCCTACATATTTGAAGCATGAAATGGAAGGTCAAATACCGGATTACAGAGTAAATAAGAATTTAATAATTACATTAATGCAATATTTTACTATTGCACAAACACAAAATTATAAATAATACTAAAAAATAATAAGTACTAAATACATATTATGAAACATAATGTCTTAAACCTGTGGTGCCCAATTTTTTTCCGCTACGGAACCCTAAATAATCAAGCTTCTTCCGGCGGAACCCTGATTTCATAATTAAAGTAAATAAATACAGTTGTGTACATTTATTAAACATTAAAAGGCTCACTTCATTTTGACTTTTGGACTTTTTATATTTGATAAGATGAATGATTTTTTTTTCATCGTTTTATCATTAATCATCTTAAATTAGGTTTTATGCCCTGCAGTTGAACTCACAGTCTTGGAGATAAATTTAGTTTCACTAAAAATTTGTTTTTATTTCCTTAAAGAAAGAACTATTATAAACGTTGAAAACTGGAATTAGGAAAACTTATTTCTTTATTATAGAATTCAGTTATTTTATTTTGATTTAAAAAGTGCAGTGTGAAATACTGTAGGATGTTTCCATGTCCTACAATTAAAAAAATTAAAGATCAAATTTTAATAATTTCTTTCCGAATTCCTGCATGAAAAATTTAATCGGATTTATTTTCATTCAAATGTTTTCATGTCATATTGTTTTTACAATTTTTTTTTTCTTTCAGCATTGGCAAATTCCTTTAGGTCGCCGTTTTCGATCATTGAAACTTTGGTTTGTGTTTAGAATGATAGGGGTGGAGGGTTTGAGAAAACACATTCGCGAAGTAAGTTGAATACTTTTAAAATTGTAATTTCACCATGCCTCTATTTTTTTTTAATTGATATATAAGCACCTTCATTATTATCCCACAAATTTCAAACTCTCAGTTTTTCACTACATATTTTTAATCTTTTATCTAAATAATAAGAATGAAAATATTCAATTTAGCGTAGTGATTTAATCTTGATTATCATATTATATCATAATATGATAATCTTTAATTATCATATTATATACACAAATTTAATTTATTTATCACACCGCGTTTTCGTTTAGATTTATATGTTGTACATTTTAAAAGTGACGTAACAACATATTTTTAAAATATATCCTTTTTGCTTACTTATATCGCATATAGTTATATCTCTTCCATGAAATTAACTATATATTATTAAAATAACTTCAATAATTGTATTAAAAACCGTTAGAAAATAACGTTTATTTAATATTTGTATTTGTTTTCCTAAACATAAATTTGAAAAACGCTCGTTATTTCAAAATTCATTTACAAGGAAAGGATAGGCTCAATTTTACTATGAGATGACCCATATTCTGCCGTACAATTGAAAAATCAGCGTAAGCGACAAAAAATTCAAAATTGATTATATATTTCCCATCTTTATATGTCAAGCTAGCTTTTTATTGCAAATAAATAAATAATAAATTTTGTTTTAACAGTTTTTTGAAGTTCTACAGGAGATAAAATGTCAAGCATCTTTTCTCGTAATCAATTGTGAAGCACTTACGCTGCTTTTTCAATTGTACGGCAGTTTTATGTATCAAATTACGTTCTTTTATTAAATTTCTTACCCTTTTAGAGAGAAATTCTCCTTTTTAAAAGAATATTCTAAGACATTGTAAAGAAAGAATTTAGAATATTATATGTCTGATATTTTTTGTACTGAACTGCTTCTGTAATCTTTATTAATAATGTTATTATTAGTTTAGAATGAAATACAACGGAAAATACATGTTACAACGGATTTTAAGTAACTGGAAACGGCTTCTAAACATATTTTCTTCCTTTCAACTTGAGAAAATTAGCTGTTGTTTAACAGCCATATTCACCCATGACTATTTTTTAAATCTGAAACTTAAAGCTCATAAAAGTCAACGGTATTTGCACCAATCTCTTCAGTAAAATATAGTTTGTCTATAGAAAGAACTCCCCACTCCACGAAATCTAAGACCGTCTGCCCCTGATTCCCTCTCTCTCGCAGACTCAAGTCAAAACCTGTCATGAATAATAACCCAACTTAAAATAGTTAAATCTCGTAACCATAGTTACAGCCACCACTCCAGACGAATTGCAAGAGGAGTTCTTTACGTAGACAGACTATATCTCCACCGCTATTCCGTAAACTTTTAAAAACAGTGCCGCTTTTCAGGAAATAATAGGAGTCCTGTTTAGTCACAGTAATGTCATTAAACCAATTTCTAGGGTAACGGTAACGATAACGGTAATTTTATTCGACCGATCCGATATTGAAATATCTTCATTGAAATATCACAGTTTTGTTGAAATGTCTACAATACAGGTCACACGGTCGGGTTTTGAATGTCATAAATTGGTTTTAGACAGGACATGTAAGATTTACTGGCCAAAACTGTCTTAATGTGTTCAAAAGTATTCGAACTGTCTAAAAGTGTAATAAATTCTCTAAAACCTGTAATGCTATAAAAAGTTAAAGCATCTGCAACTCAAAATGTAATCATTATGCTTTTATCGCATACAAAAATAAATATCTAATTATATTTTTACTCGTGCTTTTTTTCTAAATTTTTGTTCCTTACCAACTGTAATGTCACAGTTAATTGCATTTTATTAATAAATTTGAAGTAATATTATAATATTATAATTAATATTATAATATTATATTAATTATAATATTGTAATATTATTTCAAATTATATAATATTATAATTATAATTAATATTATAGTATAATTTGAAATAATGTTATAATTAATTATTAGTAAATTTATAATTTGAATAAATTCCTGAGCACGATAGTAATACTATTGTGCTCAGAGAAGCTTCCTAATCTGAAATATGACGTCTATTCTACGTATTGAAACACATAAGAATATATTAAGATTTGCGATCAATCAATCGATCACTTTTTTTTCAGCAAATTAGAATGGCTAAGGAATTTGAAACCATGGTAGCGTCAGATTCAAAATGGACTATAGAGGCTCCAGTGGATTTAGGACTCGTTTGCTTCCGTCTGAAGGTAAATTATTATCATTCCCTCTTACTATAATTACTAGATTACTAGTACTCTCCATCTTTAAATATTCTTTACATCTTTAACACGTTGCCACAAAGGACTGCTATAGCCATTCGATGTTTGGCAATTGGTAGGCAAATGACGATTACAGCCGTCCTACACGTGATGAAAAAAGAACACCATTCCATTAGTGTTCGGTCGTAAGCGAAACGCCATCTGTTGTAATTGTTTCGAACTAGTCAGTTGCTCTTGAACTCTTGTTTGAGTCAGTCGTGGCTACCATTGCAATAGTGCAATGATTTTGGTTTGATTATTTACAATTGTTAAATAAAGTATTGTTTGTTAAACTTCTAGTATTCAATGAGCCAGTGCATTGTGTACAATCGTGTACAATTAGTACGAAATTAACTAATGCATTTACATGTTAATTATTTAATAATACATCGAATGAAAGACATATGCTTGAAAAGAGAAAAAAAAATTATGGCTACAGCTGTCTAGAGTATTCATTGAAAAACTCAGACAAAATATGTTAATTCTAAACATACGAGTTATGCTGCATTTCATATGGCAGTCATAAACAAATGACGAAAAAAAAATTTCCTGCATGTTGTCGTCAAATTAAAAAAGCATGGCAACGTGTTAAAATTGTTTATTTAATAATTTAATAAGTATTCTTTGAGAGTGGTGGCTCAGGAGATAGAGCTCTCGCCTTCCATTGAGGTGAACAGAGTTCGAATCCCAATCATGGCCCGTCGATTCAATTTCTGTACCCGGCTAGCACCGATGATAGTGCTAGCTTAAAATATCCTTAGTGGTAAACGAATCATGGGTTAGAGTCTCTTTGCCGTCAAACTAACCGTGGGATGTTTTCGTAGTTTTCCTCTCCATGTAACGTAAATGCGACTTAGTTCCATCGAAAAGTCCTCCACGAAGGCAAATTTTTCCCAATAGTAGATCCAGGAGTTGCCATGTCTTCTAGATTGAGTTTTAAATTACAAGGCTACGCATTAAACATAGGTAGTCGTAAACTCAAAATTGGGTCAGCTGTTTAACGGTGGTTATAAAATAAAATAAGTATTATTTTATATATTTAATATTATTATCTTAACCATTATAGTTTGATATCTTTAAAATTATACTATAATTGTTATTTCTGTGCATTTTTAATTATTATAAATTTTTTCATCTTAATTTTATCGATTTTAATCATTAAAAAATAAATAAGATAGGAATGAAAATACACAATAGTTGTGCATTTTTTAACTTCTATTGTGTTTATTAGTTAGCACAAATTTTCTGCTCATAAAGTTCTGAATCGTATTTTGAGTTTTCAAAATATAATTTTTCGTGTTCTTTTATTTGGCGTATGATGATCTGAGATTTCATTTATCCTTTAACATAATAGGAGATTGTGCAATGTTCAGATTTTTTCCTGTTTTTCCTGTATTTCTATTCGTAATCACAACTTCTAATGCATTCGGTTTTTTTTTAAAAACAATTTCAAAAAAAGCGAACGCACTGGGGTCCCAAATAAATATTTAATAAAAACCTTACAAATCACTATGAAGGAAGACGGGATTCAATAACATCAGCACCTATTTGATTGCCAGGTGAAGCATGGAAGTTTTTCAAATAATCACCTTTCAGCTCCTTTTCGTTTTCTAGGACAATTTAACATTTACATGTTCTTAATCTCTCTTTCCTCAATAGTGACGAAGATTTTAAAAATATACATTAAGGACCATTATTAAGTATCTGTATTTAATACTGTTTCTACAATGTAAAGTTAATGGTTTTTTTTTCATCTACGTATTTAAAAGAGCATTTATTTCTTGCTAATAACTGTTTAAAAAAATTGAACTGGTGTAATTGCGTGAACAATAATGTAGGAGTGTGGGAAAGATGGCCGTTGGTCGCAGGCTGTAATCGAACCAGGGACTTTCAGGGTTCGCAGCATGGGAAAAGAATTGGTGAAGAAAAATTAGGATCAGTTAGGAAACTTTGTCTATTTGCCCCCTGACATTCCTTCTCTAGTGGACAAAAAAGTCTAATTCATTGTCAGTCGTGAGAAAGAAAGATCACGTGACCATAAGTGAAGTCACCATTTAAATGAAGTTCGGGCTTTAGCGTTGATTGTGAAACTGGGAATTGGTTAGTTGTTTTGAAACAAATTATGAAACAAAGCAAAGTATTGTAGTACTACCGTCAGTATATTTTTTTGGTTATTCGAGTATCCAGCTACGAGTCCAAAGGTTTCAGGTTCGGTCCCAGCCGGAGTTAAGATACATAGAGGAGAGTGGGGTCAATTGTAAAATTTTTTTACTTAACTATTTTTAACTAACAAAAAACCCAATATATTTTTAGTATTAATTGACAGACGAGTAAAGTAGACTATCCTCCTACTAGAAAAAATAAATACCTTATTTTAAATGTTATTATATTAGTTATTAACAATTTTTGACAGTCGTGCACTTATTACAATTGTCCCCACTTACGGGGTCAATTGTAAAAGTTCATAAATTCAACTAAAACATAGTTAATTATACAAATTATCATAGTTGTGATATATTTTTTTATTGATCAAAATAGTAGTGATATTTTAGGAGTAAAAATAATAATTAGCAGAGACCTATAGGGTTAAACTTTTAACTTTAAGGGGTTAAAAATTTTAATTTATGCTGTGAAAGGGGACAAATAAAATAATGCACATGCAACATAACATAAATAATATAGGAAACAATTGGTGGTCTTTAAAGAGTTAGGTAATTGTTGTAAACATAAGATTATTTATTTTCAGCTCTTACAATCGTCACTTTACTTATTGTTACAATCGTCCCCAAGACGTCATTTCAGCTTCATTTGTTAAAAACAATGCTAGTTAATTAACAAAACTAATCTTTTTTTTAAATGTTAATTAAGGTGTCCACTTACATATTCGGTTAATAATTTTTATTTGTTTAAACGAAATTACTTTGCTAGAATATAATATTCTAATACCAAAAAAAGTACTTACGTAGAGTGAAAATATCTTTCGTGATGTAACTCTTTCAAAAGTACATAAAAATGGTTGCCAGCAGGGGTGTACATGTAGATTTATTAAATACACCTTGTGCGCCACCTAGGAACCAAACCTAGAACCCGACACTCGAAATTTTTGCTCTGTCACAATCGTAGCCTGTGACAATTGACCCCACTCTCCCCTATCCCCCACATTTCAATGCAGTAAAGTACAAATGCAGTTTTGAGTTCCCATTATATAGTCCACCGATATGTAGAAAATGAGATACCATGTCTTTTCTAGGACTCTAACTCAGAAAACGAAAAAATCTTGAAGAGAATCAACGAAAGAAGGAAAATCCACATAACACCAACTACCATACGTGGCCGATATATGCTACGATTTGCTGTTTGTTCTCGGTTCACTACCTCAGAAGATGTTAAATTTGCATGGTCGGAAATACAGACTGTGGCTTCCCAACTCAAGAGCAACTAGATGATTTAATTTCTAATTCATTTCACTCTTCCATTTTGCAATTTTTCATTTTATGGATTTTTAGTTTGTGCAAAATGGAGTCAAGGTATTAATTATTTGTTAATTTAATAGTACCTATTTTTTAATAGCTCTATTAACCTTTATTTGATACTGAATTTTTATTCAACATATTTTTCATACTTTTTTTCCATCATTTTGTATTAAGATAAGGGAAAAATATTATATTTAGCATTTTTATAATTTAAGGTTATGATATATAGCGTAAAACACCGGCGTCTTTTTCTGTGTTAAAGGTAAAATCTTCCAAACACGATTCACTTCCAAACAATTTTCTTTAAAAATTTGGTTTGCTTTACACTTATTTGCTTTACATTTATTTATAATTAAAAAACACCAAAATATTGTTTTGCTTGTAATTAGAGATTCAGAAAGAAATATATCAAAGGAACACCGGTGTCCATTTTGCATTAGAAGGTTAATTTGGTTTCCAAGTAATCCAAGTCTTGAACTGTTCTTAATTTTCGATACGCAAGTCTAACTTGCTCAAGTTAAAAGTTCAACACATTTTTAAATAAATGTTTAAGTTACTAAACAGGATGATTTAGTTCAACGATTACATCCTTGGAAAAGAGTAGGAAGCATCACAAAGAAGAAGAGTTGCATAGCAACCAAATGGCCGGAAATGCACCGGACTCCACTAGAGGCGCTTCAATGTTATGTACTGGCTGTTCATGCGCATTTGAACCGGTAATTACATTTATCCAAATAATTCTAATTTTATGTTTTCTAACAATTATTGTCAAAACTTGCATTGAAATAGTCCCAGAAAGAACGTTTTCATTGTATTTCGCTGATCAAATTGGCGAGCTTCTCATGTTTTGTCGCCAAATCAATCAATTACGCTAAAACTGCTAAATCTATAGGCCATTTTGAATGCAGTTTTTGACAATAATTATAAGAAAATATAAAATTAAGTTAATTTAGATAAATAAAAGTGCTGATTCATTTAAATATAGACAGCCGTTCATAATATGGAAGCAAACCGAACGCTATAAAATTATATTTCTTGATTTGGGCTTTTGTTCAATTCTAAACCTTATTATAGGCTCTAATTCCTCGCCGAATTTGTAACCGCTGAACTGAATCATTCAGTATACGTATTTGTCATTATACAATAGCTTTAATATATACATGTATTTGCCATTCTACAAATATGAAGAAATAGTAGCAGAAAAAAATAATTGAAGAAAATTTTTAATAGAAAATCGAAGTTATATCAATGTTTTAATAGGAATTATTAATTGCTATATTTATGACTTACCAATTAACCTTTTTTTGCAATATCTTTTAAGCAAATATGATGTGCTTAAATTATTTCATTGGTGATCCTTCTATGTGTGAGAATTTAGTAATAAAATTCTAGAAAATGTTTTATGAAATTAAATAAGAAGTAAAAACAAGACATATAAAATCACAGTTTTTAAAATATAATAACAATTCACATAGAACTAGATAAAATTTTAAAAAACCACTTTGTTTTAGAGTTTGAAAAAGGCGTTCTTTAAAGCACATAATAAATTAATTTTATTCAAATGTAATGTCTTTAGCTATTTAATTACCCATACCAGTGTTTTTAAAAAGAACAAATAACAATTTTGTTAGAAACTACATTATTGATGAAATAATATACGGTTGTCATAAAAATTACAAAAAAAATTATAAATAACTCATTTATTTCATACATTTTCACGATGTGCTCAAAATATTTGTTATGCTATCGTTGTTTGATATCACTAGTCAGCTGTATACGTTTAGTCTTTATATCATATACCTTTTAATAATTTATGCCGTAGTATGCATGACAAAATGTTTAACATTCCACAGAAATGTAATAAAAAGAGAATAAATGTTGCATGTTTCAAATATGATTTCAGTTGATTTTTATTTCTGATTGCAACATAATACTTTTTTCAAGATATGAATAAAACCTTTTTTTCAAATTTTTATTATGTTGTTGTTTCCAATGACATTTATACAAGCCAAGCTCACTAGTCATTGACCTTTTTACGAATTAAGTCAGGAAGGTGCGCCTTTTGTTTGAAAAGAGAGCACCGCAAGGATGAAAATACGTCTTAGTACAGAACCCCACCGATAGATTACGGCAGAAAATTTTGTCTAGATCTCTGTATCCATTGTACAGCTCAACGACCGACCACAGGATATTCGATTGTACAGATTTTATGAGCCCGTATATCGCATGTTCTCGGTTGGTCTTAATTTTGTCCGATTCTTTAATAACTGGGCTACCTCGACCATTTTTATTGTATAAAAAAAAGAAAACTTTTGAAACTATGAACAAAGCCATTCCATTTTTTCGTAGTTATGTATGAAATTTAAATATTTACAACAATAAAATGCTTTAAATATTCTCTTATAATTGTTCACATGGGTTACAACGAACTATATCAATAAGCGAGGCGTACAGGGTGCCAGAGTACGAAAAAAAAATTTGTAAGTAATTTTAAATTCCTTAAGCACATTTAGGAATTTTTTCTTTTGGTTGATAAAATTTTGAATTTAATCAAAACAGTAAGTTGGTTAGTGCCTCAAACGAAACTACTAATAATTACAACGAACGAAACTACAAACGAAAATAACATCAAGGTTTTATTTTAGATATTCCCTTTTAACATCTGAGCATTTTTTAGTGTATTGAATACTAGGATACTAGGATATACCCATTGAATACATTGAATATACCATTGAATACTAGGATATACCCAGAGGATTTGTCTTATTTTGATAAACGTGCATCCCATGACCTCGAGGGTCTCCAGAAATTATCCAACTATTTTTTTTATTTATTTATTCAAATTTAAAATACCCTACTTTATTTTAACCCTATTGGATTATTTACCGGAATTGAACCATTATAATTCATTTAATTACAATGGAGATTCCATTCTTCTTATATAAAAAGCATGAAAGATATGAAGCGATAAACAAATCATTTGAAAGAAGCCTTTTGGAATCCTTTTCGAAGACTAATCGAATGACAATTAGAAGCAAGTAGCTTACACGAATTTAATTAATGTATGACAAACTGTATTCTTCTTAGAAAATGTAGGGGAGAGTGGGGTCAATTGTAACAGGGTACGATTGTAACAGAGCAAAAATTTCGAGTGTCGGGTTCTAGATTTGGTTCCTAGGTGGAGCACAGGGTGTATTTAATAAATCTACGTGTACACCCCTGCTGGCAGCCATTTTTATGTACTTTTGAAAGAGTTACATCACAAAAGATATTTTCACGCTACAAGTACTTTTTTGGTATTAAAATATTATATTGTATCAAAGTAATTTTGTTTAAACAAATAAAAATTATTAACCGAATATGTAAGTGGACACCTTCATTAACATTTCAAAGAAAAAAGATCAGTTTTGTTAATTAACTATCATTGTTTTTAACAAATGAGGCTGAAATGGTGTCTTGGGGACGATTGTAACAATAAGTAAAGGGACAATTGTAACAGCTGAAAATAAAATTCACAATTTCAATTGCAATTGTTTAACTCCTTAGGTCCCATTTCTTATATTTACAAACCATTACTTAACTCTTTAAGAACCACCAATAGTTTCCTATATCATTTATATTATGTTGCATGTGCATTATTTTATTTCTCACCTTTCACAGCATAAATTAAAACTTTTAACCCCTTAAAGTTAAAAGTTTAACCCTTTAGGTCTCTGCTCATTATTATTTTTACTCCTAAAATATCACTACTAAAAAAATATATCACAACTATGATAATATGTATAATTAACTATGTTTTAGTTGAATTTATGAACTGTTACAATTGACCCCGTAAGTGGGGACAATTGTAACAAGTGCACGACTGTCAAAAGTTGTTAATAACTAATATAATAACATTTAAAATGAGGTATTTATTTTTTTTCTAGTAGAGGATAGTCTACTTTACTCGTCTGTCAATTAATACTAATAATATATTGGATTTTTTGTTAGTTAAAAATAGTTAAGTAAAAAATGTTACAATTGACCCCACTCTCCCCTACTATTTGTGTTGTCTTTTAATTTGCTATGATCTATGCAAATGCAGTGAACGAGTAGGCAACTTTCATCGGTTGTCGTAGTAACAGAAGGAAGAAATGATTCAAGTTCTCGAAGTTGGTCTTAAATAAAATTACCAGCGTCCTCAAAAAACTTTAAAAACTTGTAGCAGCATTTATAAATGAACATTCGAGAACTTAACTCTTTACCTTTTAGAAAAATTATTTCTAACAGAGAATCCCTGCGAGGAATCTCTGTTCTAGGAATATTAATTTGGAAAGATAAAGCGGTCAGCGTTGAAATACTCGTATAGACATTTTGTTACCAGTTTTTTAGCTTCTTGAGAGCACTGGTCAGCTTAGTCATAAATCAGATAACGAAGGAGCTTGACTAGCCGAGAAGTCTTGCCATTCCACCAAATGCTTTATAGCTTGGTGGTAGCGGGCTCGAATCTCACCATGACCCTGAATGTATCCTTGTAATGTATTTCTCTAACTTGTGCTAAGTAAGCTTTTAACTTCTGCGTCTTGAAAGGGTTTATTCTGATGGACTGGAATTGATGAGTGTTTACTGTTGATTAAAATTGAACCATAAAAAAATGCGGTGTTCGTAAATGAAATTTGTCTCATCACTAAGCTTGCAATAGACAAACACACACGCACAAAAAGTACTCTAACACTTTTAGAGAACATGTAAATATAAGAAACACATTAATATGAAAGCGTAAAGGAAAGAGAGGAACTGTTTGATAAGGAACTCTTCTTTCCAGGTAATAAAAAAAAATCAGAGAGGCACCACAATTCAGATTGATCTCTATCATGTGCTATCAGTTCATCTGACCTGTATCTCAACTTGACAAGGACTTTACCGTTTAATTATAATGAGCCCAAAAACCCGAAAGTGTCTGTGTAATTCAAAATAAATAAATTAATTAAATGCTTGATCCTAATTGATAGAGGGTTTCCTGTCCGTGACTTTCTCTGGCTCAGTCTGGCAGACGTTTGTATGAGGCTGTTGTTTATGTGCAACAGCCTCATACAAACGTTGGATTATTAATTGAATCCGGTATCGACTTTTTGATTTTCAGCTGTTAAACTACTCGAACGTACCACGAGAAAATTGAGGTAGGTAGGGACATTATTAACGTCGCAGTAGAGCTACGTGATAGGCTATTGGCGATGGTCTGAGAAAGATACCTGAGGACGATCCGAAGAAATGTCATCGTAATTTTGCGAGGCTACTTCCTCAATTTAGACAGAGATCCGAAAGGAAATGAATTTTGCTCCAGATCCCTGCATCCATGGTACTGCTCAGTGACAGACCACAGGACTTCCGACTCTACAGGTTTAACGAGCACGTGTATCACATGTACTTGGTGGATTTCAGCGGAGTCAAAAATAAAACCCTGGCCCCTCCAGACCGGAGACCGATTCTCTAAACACTGGTCTACCACGGACCTCAAGAAAATCGAGACATAGCCCCATGTCATTTTAAGTAATTGTCTCTAAATCTATTATTAATTAACTTTCTGTCTAGACATTGAAATCAACATTCTTGTTTTATTTTACATAACCTATACAAGCTTAAATGCTTATTACAAAATACGACTTGTTAGACATTGAAATCGACATTCTTGTTTCATTTTACATAACCTATACAAGCTTAAATGCTTATTACAAAGTACGACTTTTAAGCCCTCATTAAGTTGAAAAACTAGCACAAGCTAGAAAAGCACAACACAAAGATACATACAGGATTACGGTGATATTCGAAACTGCTACCTTCACGATACGGAACGTTTGGCAGAAAGGCTGAACTGCTTTGCCTGGAACGAACCCACTTACTTTACCGGGCACAAATCTGAGATCCCACAGAAAACTCATCATAAGACACGGTTCCCAGTAGATTACAGAAGTCAGCACCACTGGAAACGGTCAGTGAGCAGATGAGCGACTTTGATCAGTCTGTGAAGAGTCCGAGGTTGCGTTGTATCGATCAAACTGTATTACCGTAAAGTGCTTGACTTCACGCACAGATTCTGTGGCTACCAACGTAGGAGGAGCCATCTCGCATGCAGAGAATCAAAATTGTTATGACGTGTCTACGAATCATTCTCAAGGATGTTTTCCAGACAGTAATCAATAGTACAGTGTGCAGCTCTAGTGCGGCTTAAATAAAGTACTACTACACAAATCTGAGGGTTTTCAAGTCCATCATGCGTGAAGGTAGGTAGGTACTTTATTTACGTCGAACTAGAGCTGATCATTGAACTATTGGTGATGGTCTGGGGAAAAAAACTGAGGATGATCCGAAGACCCGCCATCTCAATTTTAATCCTCTGCAGAGGATATAGCTCCGCTGCTTTGGTAGCGCGACAAAGTCGAGCACTTTTCGGAAGAACAGCTTAACGAGGACCGATACCACACACCCTCGGTCCCCATGCTGGCTGATCAAAGTGGTCAACCATCCGCTTACTGACCGCAGCCAGTGATGCTTGACTTCGGTGTTCTACTGGGAACCGTGTCTTTACGATCAGTCCATTGCGGGACCCATCATGCCTGAAATATGCCACACAAGGTTTGTTGTGATTTTATAACTGTAACTTTGATATATCTTAGCAAAAGTCTATACTTTTTCATAGTACTTCTATCCATCCAGAGAGTACATCACGACGCCGAAAGCAATTTTTTATATTTAAATATATTTATTTATATATATGAGAATAACTATCATACTGGTATGATGGAATATTCAATTAACGATTCAGTAGATTCTGGGAATCATATTCGCTGGGACGAAGCTAATATATCTACCATACCTTCTCTTGATATTTATAACAATATTGTTGGTCCTGCTTATACT